TTTAATAATTAATTGTTTTCATACTCCACAGGAAATAATTTGGAAATTGCTATGTCTACACCAGCTGTTATCAAGTCACCATTTATTACTACTATCAATAATATTGCTATATAAGGAGGTATCACCTAAAGGAATACTTGAAACATATTTTATCAAGGAAAAGTAGTAGAACAATAAATGATAAAAATACTTTAAGACACGGCAGGAAAAAACTAGAAAATAAACATGAAACAGGTTGGAAAAATAGAAGAGAAAATACAGAATAAGATGTTAGATATAAATGTATATATACCAGTACTTATAAGAAATCTAAAGAAAGAAAAGACAAAATGATTAAGGTCATAAAGCATTTGAAGAACACAATTTAAAAATGTACCTATTCACATAGGATATATATGTATAGATATTCATATATAGCATGTACATTTATAATATGTATATATAGGTACATGTGTGTGTGTGTGCTTGTGTGTATAAACTAGAAATACACATTTGTCAAGAGTATACAGAATAGTTACCTGAATTTAGCACATAATGGGTTATAGATCATGACTCAGTAAATTTTACAGGATTAAAAACTATAAAGATATATGGTCAAGCCATACTATAAATAAGTTAGAAATAATCAAGTTACCTCTTGAAAAGTAATAGTCCATTAGCGACCTCATAATAATTTTCTAGTGAAGTTTTACCATTTGAGATGTTTACTTAGGGTGTGTACATATATCTTATATATTTCACTCTTAACAGTTTATTTGACAAGATATACAACATATTTTAAAATTCTAAGATCAAATTGAAAAATAAGCACACTAAAAAAGAGGAAATCCTACAGGTGCTACCGTACTAGGAAAAGCCTCTCTGAGAGATAACATTTAAAGAGAAGCTTCAAAAAGAAATACAAGCAAGCTTTGTGTGGTTTCAAGGAGGAATGCCCCAAGAGAGGGAGAGAGGGGATGAGAATTGTAAAGGTGCTAAGGTGAGAATATATATTGTAGCTTAAAGAATAGTAGAAGGACAATTTCCCTAGAAGACAGTGTGCATGGGGAAAGTGTGAGGACAGGAAGTTCCAGAATTTGATGATGTAGGGTCCTGTAGACCAAAGGAGAGATTCAGTCATATTCTTAATGAGATGGAAAGCCAGATGGAAACCTTAATCAGGCAAAGTGATGATGAGACATGGGTTTCAAAAATAATGATTGTGAGTCCTGGGTAGGAAACAGAGAGTAGAAGACAGAATAGTAAAATGGAAGCAGAGGGACTGCTTAGGAGGCATTTCACCCACCATGACACAATTCCCTTTTGAAAACATCAAGATGATGTTTCTCAGATTGCATTTCCACTACCTTACTTATAGGACTTAGAATGATTCCAAATATTTCCTCTGCTTGAAAGATATTAACTTTCCCAACTGACCTTCCATTTTTACTTTTAAAAAGATGTCTTAATGATAAAATTCCAATTAAAGCCAAACATATGACTTATATTAAAATATGATACATTAAGATATTCAAATTTTTGTCAATTTTATGGCATCACTTTGAATCACTTGTATGACACTTTTAAAAAATCCGTCATGAATTTCATATGTTTAGGCAATAAACTTACTTTTGGTGTTGGCAATTTTATGTTTTATTTTCAGGTATAAAGAGAATGCTATGAAATTATCAAGAATTCACCATGATCAGCCAACAAAGCCCCTGGATCGAGCAGTTTTCTGGATCGAGTATGTCATGCGCCACAAAGGAGCCAAACACCTTCGGGTTGCAGCCCACGACCTCACCTGGTTCCAGTACCACTCTCTGGATGTGATTGGGTTCCTGCTGGCCTGTGTGGCAACTGCTATATTCATCATCACAAAATGTTGTCTGTTTTTTTGCCAGATGTTTGCTACAGCAGGAAAGAAGGAAAAAAGGGAATAATTAGATCTAGTCCTGAAGCTTGGATTCCTGATAATCATAGATAGGAGTAGTCCAGTTGACTGCAGCAAGAAAGGGTTGTGGTATAAGATTTCCTTGTCCCTGTGACAACATGACAAACAATTCACTTTGCCAAGTCAATCTTTGTTTACAAAGGATTTACTATCTTTTTAAAGGATAGAGATATTTTATGGCAAAGAGAAAAGAGAAAGTGGGGGATAATAAAAATGCAAAAAACTACGTAGGTTTATATTGATACGTACTATTGTAATTCAGAAATTATGTTAAAATTTGTTTTGAACTTTACATGTTGCGCATGAACACAAGAATATGAAGAAGTCCACTCACAGTATCACTACTCTTTTGCAAATACTCAGAATTCTTTACTTCAATTTGTTATAGGATTTGGCAGTTTTAGTTTATATTACAAATTATTCAATAATTAGAATTGTATGAAAAAACTCACTGTTACATTTTGGGTGGAATATTAATAATGCTGGTTGGCTTATATAGAACATCCAGCTTCAGCAACACTTCATTCCTAAAAGACATGGCAAGAATTTTACCTTCTTCTGCCTTACAGCATTTTCTAGGTGAATAATTGTGGAATTAGAAAATAACAGCTCCTTACCTGTTTCCTGTTATAAACACGAGCTATTTGGGAAAGTCTTAGGTTTCATTAACTTGTTTTCTTTTCCTCATTTCCTCTTAGAAAGATTGACGTGGTTCTTTTCACTCTCATTTTCAACCTTTGATAATAGCAATAATG